AAAGACATGACAAAATTTCAATTATGACACAAAATTTCCTTCTCTTAAGGAAACTGCGACTCAACAACCAAAAGTGGTTCCTTCCAAAGTCATACAGCCTGATGGCTCCACGCCAAAACTATCCCAAGCTGAAGTAGTTCTTAATTGGCAAATTGAAAATGCTTTAGCCCAAAATAAAACCATTACCAGAATAGAACAAAAATTGGATCTGGTTGCTCATCAGGTGGACTCTGAGTCTTAGAACCACACTATGCTGATTTCTCGTTTACAAAAACAGATTAATCAACTCCAGTAGGAATTTATGCACATTGTCAGCACCTCTCATGGTTATTCAGCTCAATTTCTCTAGAAGGAAGCAGAAATGAAGTCGTTAAAAACCCAAATGGCATCGCTTTAATATGAATATCTTAAGCAAAAACTCAGACAACCACAGACTTTTCCTGAAATGTCTTTGGTGCCAAATCCTTTTGATTCTTCAACAGCATGGCCAAACCCTCCTTTTCACCTTTCCTAACGATGAGTCAATCTTTGGTCTTGCCTCACATACCTTCTGGTGTTGTTCAAGCTTTTGGCAACACTGAACAGTTATATCCCAAGCTCCGCAGAGAACGTGATGAAAAGATTAAGCTCGAACGGGAATAAAAGAAGCGAGAAAAATATTCTGCTAAAACGCGGGAACCATCCGATGATATACCTGACTCTTTCTCTTCCAGTCATTCAGATCGTCCATCTCCTAAGCCTCATCGTCTTTTATCTAAGGATAAGGCTCCAATGCAAATAATGATGATGGAAGATCACCAAACTTCTGTTGATCCTGTCTCTTCAAAAAATCCTGTCTCTTCCAATTTTATGAGCTCTTTTTTTAGAGACATGGCAGAAAGGCAACGTATTGTAGCTTTGAGTATTTCTCAGGGTTCTTTATCTTCCTTCCAAATAGAATCAGAAGCTGATATGCCTTCTACTGATGAATCATTTGACAGTAGCTTTGATTCTGAAAGTGATACTTTTGATCAACATCTTAATGTTTATCCCCAACTGATAACCCATCAACCCAAATCTTCAAGACCACCTGTTGTCTCTGAAGTTGATGATGTGATGCTTGAAGGTGATGATTTCATACCAGACTCTCTGCCTTTGTATCGACAATCTCGTCATACTACGGCTGAGCGTGACTCTTATACAACTTCAACAAAGCTCTATAATTTTACTATTAATGATCTTCCTCCACACAAATGGAGAAATCGGATGTATGAATTTCAAGTCTGGTTACAAGTTGAGATGCTTAAACTTAATGCCCAAGTCTCTATTATACTTACACAGTTTACAGCTAGATTTGGCGGCTTTCTCCGTGATTGGTGGATTAATCTTCAGGAGTACATACAAAATTTGTTCATCCAAATGACCGAAATTAATCAAGCTCTGTATCTCCTCTATGATAAATTTTGTGGATTACCTCACCTTTATGAGGACCAGGTCAGAGAAGAATTTTTTAAGATACGATGTTGTTCTCTAAAAAAGAAAGATCTTGATAGACATTATAAAGAGATGATAAAAAGATATCATATACTTAGGGGTATGGATGATCATAACAGGAAGCAAGCCTTTTTAGCGTCTATTCTAGAATCCCTAAGTCATGAAGCAACCAAGCTTATGCAGTCTCAAAGCAAACAACTTGGTTCCACTTCTCTTGGAGAAATTTATCAGTTTGTCATTCTTGCTCTAGAAAAGCTCTGTTCTCAAAAACAATTTTTTGATGATTATCTAAAGTGTTTTAAGCAGCTGACAAAGGTTTGTCAAAGACAAGAATTGCAAACCAAATGCAAATCAGATCACTCTTGTTCTTGTCCTACCAAGAAGAAGTTTCATTTCAGACGTATCAAGTTTTCTCCACCTAATGCTCTTACTAGGCGCAAATTCTGACGTTTCAAGTATTGCAAGTTTCTTCGGAAAAAGAAACGCAGAGGCAAACGATCTAATCGGTGTTATTTGTGCAACCGTCTTGGACATTTTGTCAAAAATTGTCCAAACAAGCCCAAATAGTCAGCCAAAATGATGCAACAGCTTTCTCAGCTCACTAGTATAGATTTTTCTGATGATGATGTTGAAAGCTGGTTTTCAATGGATGAAGAACCCACTTCAGACACTGTTTTTCAGTTTGCAACCACTGATACTGAGTTCTCTGATTCAAATGATTGTCACTATTTCTACCATATCCAACAAATACCACAATCTTTTCCATCATTAGCCTTCTCATGTCATGTACCTACAGCAAAAATTTAGATCTTCCCTACTAAATATTCCAATCCCATTTCAATCATAGCATTTTTTGATACTAGTGTTACTCGTACTATTATCAACCCTAAGATCCTTACATCCTCTCAGTGGAAACCTCATTAAGAAGTTTTCTACATTGCTAATAGTGACACTTTCGCTACCCATCTGATCAACAAACCCATTAAAATCCAAAATTTTCCAAGATGTTTTGCTTTTCATAAAGTTCTTAGTTCCAATTTACCTGCCAAAGATATGGTTCTAGTTTTTTATGTTTATTCTAAACTCAATAAACTTAGAATCCTCCATAATGGTGTTCAGTACAATATGTTTTTCCAATCCTGGACCACTTAGTGTAACTTATTCCAGATTGAAGGCGATCATATTGAGCATATCAAAGCACAGCTTATTTCCCGCTCTTGTACAGATTCTCATTCAGATTTTCTCACTAAATGTTCTCATATATTATAGAAGAATTCTGATTTCTTTATCCATCTTCCATTCATCAAGAGCGAAGATATCAATCCAACTAAAGCTAGTCATTCTGGCATGTCACCAGAACATCTCAGCCTTGCTCAATAAGAATGTACTCAGCTTTTATCTCAATAATTGATTGAACCTACAAATTCCCAATGGACATGTGAAGCTTTTTATGTAAACAAACGTGCTGAACAAGCCAGAGGAAAACTCAGACTTGTTATCAATTATCAGCCATTGAATTTCTTTCTCCATGATGATAAATTTCATCTATCTTCCAGACCAGTTCTCTTTGCAAATCTCCATCATGCAAAGATGTTTTCTAAATTTGATCTCAAAGTTGGATTTTGGAAACTTGGAATTCATCCTGATGATCGCCATAAGACTGCTTTCTGCAATCCCAACCGACATTACCAATGGACGATCATGCCTTTTGATCTTAAGGTCGCTCCTTCCTTGTTTTAGAAAGCCGTAACGAAGATTTTTGCTCCCCTTCTTCATACATGTCTCATTTATATCGATGATATTGTCCTCTTCTCAAAAGATGAGGAATCTCATGTACATCTTCTCCGCCAGTTTGCTGATATCATACACTCTCATGGTATTATGCTTTTTGAGAAGAAAATGCATTTAGGACATCTAAATATTGATTTTCTTGGTATGGTTATTGTTGATGGCAAGTATGACCTCCAGTCTCATATTGCTAATGAGTTGCAAAAAATCCCAGATGTTCTCACAACCAAGAAAGAAATACAACAATTCTTAGGAATTGCCAGTTACATGTGCAATTTCATTCCCAACATTTCTCAACTCACTTCTCTACTTTCCCAGATGCTTAAGAAGAATCCTCCTTCGTAGTCTGAAAAGCAAACCAATGCAGTCAAGAGTCTTAAACGCAAATCCTTCCATACACAGCCATTGAAGATTCTCTCTTTTGAGAAACGAATTCTTCAGACAGATGCTAGTGACACTCATTGGGGTGCAGTGCTTTTTGAACAAGATGTTCACAAAGTACGACATTTGTGTGGATACCAGAGTGGATAATTCAAACCACATCAATAGCATTATCATTTTACTTTCAAGGAAGTATTAGCAGTAAAAAATGTTATTGAAAGGTTTGAATGTCATCTTGTTGGACATCACTTCTTTGTCGAAACGGATACGAAGTCCTTTGATCAAATGCTTCGATTCAACAAGAAAAAGGTTCCACATCAACAACTACTTCGATGGGCAGAATGGTTCAAGAAGTATTCTTTCGCCGTTTAACACATCAAAGATTACACCAATACCATTGCAGATTATCTATCCTTGCCTAAAACTAAACAAGTTAGTTTCATGCACCCTAGATCCAAACAAGAGCTTCAACAGTCTCGTGATTACTACCTTCATAAATCTAAGCGACAACAGTATATGCATGTATCAAGTACCTCTGAAAGAGAGTCATCTCAGTTTCCAGACATTTCTCTGGATACTCATCCAGATTCATCTTCTCGACATATTCCTATTGATTAGATCCTAGTAATGAATTGTCTCGATTTCCAAGATGAAGACTCGTGACACGTTACAAACTTGTTAGATGATTAAAGCTCTACGTGTCTTAAAGTAAATACTTATGTTCTTTATGTTTATCTGCAAAATAAGTGTGGACTAAATGACAGTTTGCCAACTCTAATGTAATATCTTCCGTATGAATTGTAAAAGTCAAACATTGTAGGGAAATAAATGTAAAAAAAAAATCCAAAAATTCAGTTGTCTCAAGCCATGTAATAAATGGCTTTTTAACGTGAAAAATCCAAAAATTCAGTTGTTTCAAGCCATGTAATAAATGGCTTTTTAATGTGTCTTGTATGTATTGACTGGGGCTGCAATTTCGCTAGGAATTATTTGGGCAGTGGTCATTGCTCTTCAAAAACTTGAATAAAAACCAATACACTTGGCTAGAAAAAACAGCTTACGCTTAGCAAAGAATAGCTATCAACTATGAATATTGATTCTGAATTACAAGCTGGAAACTATGATACAATTGAAAAAAAAAAGGGAAACTGTTGGAAAAAGAATGATGATCCAATTCCAGGTACAAGAAAATCAGTTAGTACTCTCATTTGTTAGTGGATTACCTCTTCCTTATCTTCCATTTTGGAGGGCCAATTTCATTTGGTTGATATCTGATCCCCCTGGTAACACACAGCTTTAAGTAAACAAAATAGTACGTCTATGTCCTCTTTGCACAGTGGAAGCCTCAGTAAGAAATACTTGTCAAGAAAAACTAGCAATTCCCTTTCCACTTCATATTCATGAATCATGGGATTCTTCCAGAGTCGAAATGGGAAGAAGGGTAACTCGCTGCTTCCCACTTTCTGATCGAAGGTTATCCCCTTTAAATCCCATCTGGGAGTCAAAACCATATTCAAGATAGCTTTAGATATAAGAACAATTAAGCTTCGTGTAAAGCAAAACTACAAAGACACGGTGCCTAGAATATTTAATTCTAAGATTGGCGATTACCTCAACAGCACTGTCAGGGGAGAACCACCGTAACAGCACCCCAAGATGTACAATAGAAGGAATTAACTTGAAAAGCAGAGGAGTTGTCACCTGCAATGATTAATGTTTGCAATTGACTCATAACCTGAAGGAATTATTGTTCCACAAACAATCATCATCATTTCCCATATATTTTGCAGGAGTTGGATCACCTCAGATGGCACAAATTCGTCAATTATATCAAGTTAAGACTACCAAAACCTTCACAATCACAAGATAACCCTTTGTTCATTAACAAACACTTGGGGAGAACGAAAATCCAATGTAACATTATTTGAAATTGGCATGCATAAATTCTACAAACTTCACATCATATTCCTTGAACATTATTGAATGATTGTCATACCAGGCTCAGAGCTGTTGTCCCAAGAAGCAGCAGGTACAATGTCCCCTGCAAATGGTCAAAAGTTAAGCTCTATAGTAGCTCATAGTTTCACATACTTTCCCGCTAAAAGCTAAGAGTTAAAACATCTGACATACACTATGAAGGACCTCAGTTTCTAAAATGTGAAGAATACACAGAAACCATTTTTGTAGCAAAAAAATTAAGCGAGGGATGTATTTCTGCTTAAGCACTGTCATGACTAAATGATTTACAGTACTAACCTCAACCAGATGCAGATTAGAAGCACGGCTAAGGAGAATAAATGCAAATTCCCCTATCTGTGCCAGAGACATTCCAGCCTACACAAGTGCACCGAATCAGGTTTCTTCAAGTACCAAAATACTCAAAAAGATAGCAAGCAACCATTACGCCATCACAAAATATCTTACAAGAACAGAGGTCTTGTTGTTGTAACCAAATCCCTTGACAACTGTGGTGACTACAGTTGTCTTTATGATGATCACTAATATGACAGAGGCTAATAATATGTCAATGTGATTCCAAAGAAAATGAACATGGATCAGCATCCCAATGCTAGCAAGGAAGAGAGCAGCAAAGAAGTTGCGAATAGGTTCGACCTGCACATTTCAAAAACTTCAATTGGCTGCTCAGAGAGGGAAAAACTAATGTATCCAAATTTTCATATCAGGAACCTCAACATGAAAGGCAACAATAGACGGACAACAACCATATAACACATTGCGCACGCAAGGTTTAAAAGTTGAGACCACAAACTTTTGACTCCAACATTATGATTTACTGTACAAGAACTAAAACTAATTGAAGAGAACAAAGAGAAATAGCCTGTCAGATGAATTCTAAAACATACTTCTTTGTGAAACCATAGAAACAACCACGTGAAGAACTACAAGTTTCTACTATCTTAAGTAAATTCTGGACAGATTCTAGCAGGAATCAATAATATTACATTACTCTTGGAGCTTGTTTTCTGCAAAGAGTCCCCATCATGCACACAAGCATCCAGCATAATTAAACAAAGAACGACAAACCATTTCTGTTGCGGACGTGGCACACTTGAATGCATGCAAGGAACATAGCAACCATTGACAACAGAATAACATTACAGATGCATGCATACATATCGGGAGCATAATTAAAGCACAGAAATTTTTCAGACATAATAGAAAAATACATGTTATCTTACTTGTTCTAGTGTATGCTGAGCAAGATCAGTTGTTGATATCATTACTCCAGCGGCAAAAGACCCCAGTTCCAGACTAAGGCCTAGCTTATCACTACACTGAAATCATAGAATCAATTAGATAACAGTTCACTAAGCAAGTCATCCGAATGATTTCGCTTGTGTTACTAGCTTAAAATTATCCAAGAACCTATCAAGTTCATTATGTGCATTTTGGACCATAGAAGGGTAGTGGTCTATCCAAAGTATGGTTAAGAGAATGTAAAGACCTGATTCTCAGGATCTTTTGAAGAGAATAACAGACCAACTATAAAGACTTATTCAAAAGTAACCAACAACCAAGAGACACAAACAGCCAAATTAAAGCCTTTTCTGCCAAGGCAGATGCACCAGTAGTGTAGTATTTTATTCTTCATAACCAAACTCTGCACTAACTATCTTCATGAAGTTTCAGTAACCATACAGTGTCCTTGTTACATAACACACAGACACTTAAAATTGTAACCATATACCTATTTACAATAGAAAAAAAATCATCATTGCAATTTTTTAACGAAAACTATCAAAGGAATATTCTAACTCGACAAAATAAAGCTAGGTTTTGCGACCACAAAGCAAACACTCATCTCAAGAGCTTAACTGTAATTCCACAAGTAAAACATTTGCCATCAAATTTACAATCAGATGTTAATATACGTATATATTGTTTAAATGATATTGTTTTCTCTAATCACAAAGTAAAAGAATTGAAGGTATCTACCAAGTAAAAAAGGTGAGTGGACCAATAGGATTATTCTGCATGCCAAAGTAAATTAAATATACTAGATCGATCAAGAATTAGTAAGTGAAACAAACCCAGGCTACAAGCAAGCAGAATGCAACTGATGCCAATTGATAGAGTTCATTGGTCTGCACAAATAAGCATGTAAGTCATTAGATAGATCAAAGTAAAACATCTACTCACTCACATATATACATGTTTGTCAATTACAAAACAAGAAGAGTTGGTGGATTCTACTTTAAATAAAAATCTGTACCTGTGACGATAGGCTTATCATCAGCTTTAGAAACCAAGGAACACAAGTTCGAGATAATACTGACAAAGAAGCCAAAAAAGCAATCAACACAACCAACCTGGTCAAAAGGACAATTAGTTAGTCATAACTTACAGACAAGTTCAATACTTACACCTGTAAAGCACGAAAAAACACCCAATTATGCCCACGTTTGATTCTTAGAAACATATAATGGAATTTATAATTCTGGTATACCTCCTAATTATATTGTTTTTTATTGGGTTTGGAAACCTTGATATAATGCCTTATTTCTTGAGCCTTAATTATATTAGGGTATGTGTCTTTTGATATCAGTTAAGTTTACAAGTCCATCCTGTTCATAAAACTAAAAGTTCTGTTTCAGTCTTAATTGTTGGATCTCTAAACAACATTGGGATTATTACAGAGGCAATTTTCCTCGGAAATTTTGTCTACCATTAACATGAGGCTGATGTTTCATGGTCTTCAACAGGCATGTGGAAGTTAAACATACAAGGAAAGACTGGCCCAACTTTACATTTATGCCACATAATTATCCATAATACAATACAATGCCCAGAGTTCAGATTGCAGGTAAAAAAAAAAGAGAGACAGAGAGACAGAGAAAAGAAAATCTAAGATAAATGATGAAATTTTCTGTGTAATTTGGATAAGAAATTACTTCTTTTTAACATTGTTAATTCATTGATTGGAAAGAATCCTCGTAGGAAAATGAGGCAGTAAAAATTGATCCAATAAATTTCAGAGCATTTGAACTTCAAAGTGATTTCCTTCTCCTCTTAGATCAAAGCCTCAAATTCAAAGTGAAACAGGAGCCTCACAGTCCAGTTATAATAGGACGAAATATTTATACCTGCAACTTTCCGAATAGTTTGTACAGCACAGAACATGGAAAAGTGAAATAGACCCATGGATGAATTGTTTTAGGGTCTACTTGGGAGTTTTTTTTCACTGGTTTTGAGGGGTTTTTAATTAGACTGGTTTTGAGGTGTTCTAAAACCATTATTTGCCAGATTTTTTATAGACTAGTTTTGACTGGTTTAAAAAGCCCCCAAAACCAGTGTAGTGTATTTTTGAGGGGTTTATAAAACACCCCAAATCGAGGTGTTTTGGCTGGTTTAAAAATTTTATCCCAAAAAAACTCATTTCTACTATTATTCCGTGATATACTATAATCCCTTTGCTGCAAAAAAAAAAAAAAAAAGTCACAGAATAGAGGGCCAAAGGAAAAGACTGGCATTTCATTTGATTCTTCCTTCTCCAGCTTCTTCAATTCTCTCAACAAGGTTTGTTTTTCTCTTTCTCTCTCATTTTTTGTTTGGGTTTACCATGCCACTATAAACCAAAAGAAAACAGAGGATTGAGCACTGGCAATCTGGAATCATAAAGCTGTCATATGCAGAAACTGGTGTTTGTTCCTAACATTAATTGTTGGTTGGAGATGATGAATATCTCGTAAATAGACCCTTGTAAACTGAATCACATGTGTGAGTGTGACATGAAAATGATATATTACCATATTGTTTTTATTGGTTGCATAAGTACCTGGGTGTTTTTGTCCTCTTGTTTGATTGGAGAGAAAGAAAATAAAAACAAATAATGTAGGCATTATCTGTATTTATCAAAGTTAATTCAGCAAAAGAGAGAGTGTTTTAACTTTGTTTGGTTGTGATTGTGTGAAGAAAGCGAAAGATAGACAACATTGTAATTTACTGATTTGTACTTCTCTTCATTTAAATGTTTAAGTTAGGGAATTTTTATGGGCATATATATAAATTTATCAATTTAAAAAACTGTCAGAACCGTTGGAAAATAAACTCCTAAGCACAAGTTGGGTGTTTTAAAAACCGCTACTAAAAGCCCCTCAAAACCGCTACGATGGTTTACCCTCATAACCGTTTCGATGGTTTACCCTCAAAACCGTTTCGATGGTTTACCCTCATAACCACTACCATAAAACTCCCAAGCAGACCCTTAAAGTAAACTCAAGAAATGAAGAAAATGAGACCACAAACAGGCAATTTTTGGCAAGTTTCCATCTTACAGTTTGGTGATGGATATCATTCCTTGAAGAACACCAGAAGTCCCACCCAGAACTGGAAGCAATGCAAACAGCAAGCCCACAGCACAATCCTGAAAGTTTAAAAACTTCTCAACACCCGAGAGTGATCAAAGATAAAGTAAAGATACAAATTCATAAAATGTGAACCAGAAAGCATAAATGGAACACTTAAAATAGAAATGGATAAAACAGGATGAGGAGAAGCAAATAAATACCTGTAGAATAAGGGTGCCAATTGTGACTTGCCCATGAAGAGCACTAGAGGAATTCTTTTCCATCAGAAACTTTAAAACCTGTGGTCAAAATGATGTAAGATTTTAATAAAAGCACTACATACCAATAAAGATCTAAAGGAGTAGAAAGTGCATGCAAGTGTATCATGTGACATTTTACCACTGCTGTTGAAGACATTGAAAGAAACGCGCCGACAAATATCCCCTCTGAAGGTTTAACTCCAAATAACTGCAAACAGCATCCAATCAGAACTGCAGCATTGAGAATGAGAAACATTGTGTAACATAGTCTACATTTAGAAAAGAATACAAGACAAAAAGAGATCAGTATGAGAACATAGCTCTATTTGTAACCACAGAAAGTGGACCATTGCCCCATGAACAAACCCAAACTTTAAGGTCAGGATGTATACAGAATGCAACTTCAGAGGCCAATAGTAAAACAAAGACCTGCCTTTGGAACACAGCTCGTCCAATATCATACTACTTTGATTCCAGAAATAAATGTAATAGAAAATATGATTCCCTATTAAACCAAATGATACCATTATTGATTACTTGTCATTGAATTAACATGGCAGCCTTATTCCATTAATGAAAAGTCAACATAACCCATACTAAACAATCAAAACTTAAAAGCAGGTCAGGAAGCTGATGAGATTTAATCAAGCCCACACAGTCCAGTTCCAAGTTAGTCACATTAAAAAGATTCTCTACAGCCTTCCTTCCATATACTAGTTTCTTTTTTTTTTTAATTTTCTAATTATTTTATTTGTAATTCAAATAGCTTTTATCATTTTCCTCTGGATTCAACTAAGTGTTAAATAATCCGTCCACAGGTAAAAAGAATATCAACACTCAGCAATTTACATAACAATTTTGTAAGAAAAATTGAACATACCAAGGCCGTAATTCCACACAAGAACATAAACAAGAAAATTTGAAGCAGACCTCCCAAAATAGCAACTGCTCTAACAACTCGAAGCTACAATTAAAAAGGATAAAATTTGAATCATGATGTTAACAATAAAATTGAAATACGTCAAGTGAAGCAAAAAGAAAGAAACAAAACAACATGTGAGAGCATAAACCTTTGCCGTAGAGAACTCTAGGCCCAATGCAAAAAGAAGAAAAATAACACCAAATTGAGCCACTGTTTCAACCTGCATGAATAAATCCAAGTGTAGAAAATAGCACATGTAAGTAATCTCATAAAAGAAAAATATTTTTTCATTGATATGTAATCGTAATAGGAAAACCCAACACACAACCAAGCGAATAAGTGCAGAGAAAAACAAATCATCTCAAAAGATGTCACGGAATGGTATCTTCAGCTACTAACAGTTTGTACAAAAAAAGGTCAATCATGCGACAGTTGATTACTATAATTCCTAATTAATACCATTAATCATTTTATAAAGGTGTCATTCATGTTAGGAAAAAGCCACAAGCATTCAAAAAAAAAAAATAAAAAAAATTGAATAACTTGGATTGTTGAAAGTTGAAACTTTTAAATTGCAACACTAAAGGCCACTTGGAAGTAAGTGAAATGTGTCGAGACTTTAATTAAGTTCTGAAAAGATTATAAAATTAAATTACTTTGAGATGACAGATGAGAAGAAAAACAATATAAAATTAAATTACTTTGAGATGACATATAAAAAAAAAAACAATTTTCAATATAAATTGATTCATCACTACTCATCTCATACATGAAAGGCTTACTTTACCAGAAGAATCATTTAATACTATGAAAAGGATCATCAAAATATATTCGAGAGGAAGTGGTATGTAAGAAGCAAAACTGTGAGATTGTTAATTAAAACAAGTAACATACTTGCACCATTTCACTAACAAAGCTAAACCCTCCAGGTCCAATAACGGATCCTGCTAGTAAATATCCTGTTATCACCTGTATATATTAGCAAGGTTAACTATTCTGTCAGGCAATCAATATCCAGAGACTTTCAGACAGATTCTATAATAAAATCATCAATTAAGCTTATATCAATTTAATCAGACCGGCTGTCCAGCACATGCAAATGCGATGCCACCACATGCTGCAGACACAATGACGACCACCAAATCTGATATCAACCTACCAAAAGTGAGAAGAAATGTTTGATCAGCTTACAACTTAGGTATAGAAATTTGATTCTGACAAAACTATGTCAATTGCAAGCTTACCTTAAATCTAGCTGCAGCACAGGGTATTTTGATTTAAAATTAGATATAATGAAAATATTATCCTGAAAACAAATAAGAGTCAGTTTGTAATCATAATTATATTATAAAGATCAAAGGAGAGAATTTCTAAAACAGAATGCTACCTTGCGATCTATTAGCGTTGGTGTCTCTTCGGCGCCATTATCATTATCCAGATTAAAAACATCATGAAGTTTAAATGATCTAAAATGAGGAAAAAAGAAGTGTAAGAATTCTGAAACTTTCCAATCAGTGAAGCAGAATTCTCATTGAGAATGAACATTCACTACTCTAAATACAAATGCAAATTATTGGAATTTATACATGAAATCTACTATGACAAAAGATAGAAGCATATACTTTTCCTCTTTTGTGTCATTTTTCTTCGGCTTAACTCTTGCTACAGTTTCTAAAACTGCCTGATCAACACAAAAATGTAGAGAAGATATATTTAGCAAATGCTTCAAGCTAAAATACGTCCTAGAAAAGAATGCTATTTTTGCAGCCAATTAATTGTCAAAGGAAGCTATATCAAATTTGTAAGCAAATAATAACAATATGCACTGTTACTGAAATTAAGAAGATCCATAAATCCTACAGTTATAAATCCTAATAAACACAGTTCTTTAAAGAAATTGACATTTAAAAACCCAAAAGTAGACAATGCCACCAACCTGCTGACCAGCTACACTGTTGTTAAAGCTTCCAGAATCATTCGCTGCAAAAAATAAGAAGTCTGAATTCTGTACTGAGAGGATAAAAAAACAGAAGAAGCAAAGAATATAGCAGCTCAAGGCCACATAAATTCTAATAATAATAAAACTATTAGACCACAGGTGGACACCCACAAAAGAAAAGAAAAAATCTAGAAGGTTGGTATATTGCAATTGACCAAAAACTGATATCCAAGAGTTTCCTCTTAATCGAGCAATCAACAAAAGAGAACACTTCACACAAGCTTTGCTACTGAACCTCTAATTATATTTCAAGCAGCAGGCTTTAAGACAGTGCAGCATTAAATAATCAGGGATTACCAACCTTAACCCAAGTACCCACAAGATGTAAGCCAGCTAATCAAAGTAAGATAAAAAAAAAAAAGGAAAACTGATTTTGGAAATAAAGATCATATCCCAATAACATGTTCAAAAATTACCCAGAAGCAATATATAAATTTATCATTAAATCTATACATAGAATAAAAATCTCAAAGCTTTGTTTGGCAACATGAATTTTAAGCTTTGAGCAGTTCGGAAATTTTATGAAGAAGACTACCTCTAGATCTAAATTTGTTCAGTTCTAGATTTCTTTTTCGTTGCTAAAATATAACCCAAAAATAGTTCTATTAAGTCAGTTGAGAAGAAACTATAATATATTTCCAGGTTGCTGCTTTTTCTCGGCAAACAAACAAAGAAAAAGTTCCAAAGAAAAGTAAGTATGAGTTAAGCTGAGTTGACAACTGAATGAAGAAAATAAAGATTAGAGTAAGAAACCTTCAATCTGTTCATTCTCAGTGAACTCTTTCTCGAGAGCTCGATCGATTATATCAGCAAAACTATCCGGTTTAGGAACAGAAATATTAGAAACGGTGGCGTTCAAGTCAGTGAGAGGAAACTGGTCCAAGTCAGTGAGTTTAGTAGCGAGTGAGATAGAAGCGAAGCAGAAGAAGAGCAAGAGAGAGGACAGTGATGTTGAGAACATTGCAGGGGATACGGTGGCGCAGGTTAAGAGTTGAGGTTGGTACGAGAGAGAGGAGATGCCGGTCTGCCGATGCTAACAATGCAAGTGGGGGAAACTGGAAAGAAAGAGAGAGACTGGGAGGAGAAAATAAAATTGTGAAGAGAGTTAGATGGTAGAGAGGAAAGAAGTGACGGGAATAATAATTAATTAATTTCAGTGATAATAATCAGCACAGCCTTCTACTTGGTAATAATAATTGGAAAATATGATTATAGCTTTGTTTTTTATTAATCTAGCGTAAGTAAGACTTTAAACAGTAATTGTAATATAAAAAGGGTAGAACAATCCTATCAAATTATTTAAAAATTCAATTTATAATGTGCCGGCTACCTGAAGCGATTACCCGACCGGCTTCATGCCTCCTACAAGATTCGTAATTCTTTAAAAATAAATTCATTTCACATCAACACTCCATATAACAGACCTCAATAAAGTAGAGAGTATTATTTAAATATAATTCATATCAGAGAAAATTAAAATTTATCTAGATTTAAAACATGAGACCTGTCTTAAAGAATAATTCAGCTGTTGGTATTATCCTCTAACATACATCATATGACAATGTGCACATGTCAATTACTGTCCTAATTTTAATAAAAGAAATATTAGGTAAAAATATGGTGAATCTTGGATTTGAAGGAATGTGCTTACCTCTTCTTTTTTTTTTTTTTTTTCTAATTCATGATTACTTATGGGACAAAAAATTTGTTACCAACCTACGCACATCTTAATTAATTTTTCGAGACCCTAAACTATTAATCAAATAAAAGATCCAGTGACTACCCCTATTAGCAATCAAAGAGAGACTCGAACTCAAAACCTCTTGAATAATACACTCAATAGTCTCAATCGAATCACTCGACCACTTAGAGAAAATAAGTTTGTCTCAACTAGTTTTTTATTGATTTGTTTTAAAATTATATCAGTAACATTTCTAATAATTCCATTATTATCACTTTTTCATTTTCAAACAGACTTAGAATTGAAGAAAACAATATACAAGGGAGTAATTTCATACATTTACCACAGCAATATAACTGAATCACCGTCATGTCTTTTTTCCTTTGCCCTCTTTAAATTCCAATATATACATAAGACATAACTAAGGTAGAGCTTTAACACAAATTTGCTTCAGATTTATACGATAATAAACAAAGGTGAAACGTTTGGTGTTTTTCTATTTCCCCATATGAATATGATCCATATGGCATAGAGAAATGGCCTTTTAACTGCATCTAGAGCTTCACCGGGAACTCCCCAAATCTATAAGGCGTTTTCTCGAGAGATTTATTATTGAATCTGCTATAATTCTGGCACTGGACTTCATATAACCACCTGAAACATCGAACACCCAAGAGATAAATACAACCACCAATGATTTCATGATAAATTATCAGCAACATGTCGGACCATTATGAGCTGTGGAAGTAAGTTGTATACAATAACTTCAAGGGTAAAAGCTTCAACTATCCAATACAAGAAATATAGCCAGAGACCAATATGTTTTAAATAATTGGCAAGTTTGTTATTTATCCATTTACTATGAGCAGGTAAAATTTCACAGAGAAATTGCGGGAACTTAGTAAGTAATCTGATCATCAGCTCCATTATGAGTCTCAGTGAGAGATGATCAGAAGGCCTAAACACTAGGTTGATCATATTGACAAGCCACAAGGCACAATATGAGAATTAAGAGATGGTTCTTAGCTGAAAAGAGCCAGTTCCTCAACACTGGCTGAGAATGTAAGCACGCATTCACATATTCATAAATAGCATTAACAAACACGAACAGAGAAACATAGAATTTATCAACACAGTATATCTAAGTTTCAAATCCGGTGACCTGATGTGAGCATGACTATAGGAATGTTTCTTGAGCGAGCAAATCTGAAGACCTTCTCATCTCTAGCAGCTATCCCCTCGGGACTAATCTGCAGCAGCATAAGCACAGCATGAACCTTGTAGTTAATTATCATATTGGAGGGAACTCACACACAATATAGGTAACTGACTTCATAAAGAACATGCTCATTCATTCTTTGCAGCAATTATAATAACTATTTAACTAGCATTAGATTGGAAAAATATTCTCATTGTAAAGATTCTTTCAACACCATTCTTTGATGAACTGTCAAATGATAAACCTCCGAGTCTCATCATGAGCCCAAACGTTGAGTTCAATAAATTTGCTTCATAATAGGGTGCAGTATCCAACAACCAAATTTTACCTTTAACCTGCCCAGTGGATCCCCATCTAAGATATCAGTGCCAGCATTGTAAACTACTAGCTCAGGATCAAACTTACGTCCAGCAACCTAAAATAAAGAAATCAATAATATCAATGCCACAGAGCTCCAAAAGAGATTTTTTCAACTCTTTCTTGCGGTATTAACACTATAATCATTTACAACTATAATATTCTCTATGTCCAGAAACAAAATGCTATTGTTCTCACTATTTAATCAGTGAAATTCAACAACCACAGAAATAATTGTTAACAAGACCGAAGAGAGGCAAAAAAAATCCCGAAAGGTACCAAAAAAAAAATTGGAAAAGCAAGAGTACATTCCAGTCAACAGCAAAACTGTGACCATAAAGTGGGCAAACTACATTCCAAAACAGCATTTTTGACCAAGAAATGAATGCCAAGGTCATACATACAAATAATGCATGTCAGGTGGCAAACATGTATCAAAAAGATGGTAATGGCGCTCAGATAGAAGTTGAAACCTAAAAGACCCCACAACTGCCATACGAAAAGGCAATATTATTGGAGGGAAACAGCAAGACACTGTATTACACTGGTCTGTAGAAAGCTCCTAAAGGAGACACAACCAAAAGCTTAAATTGTCAGAATCAAGGAGAGAACAACAGGTGAGACATGTTATAAGCAAAAGCCATTTATACCTCAAGTGCATCATCTAATTTCTTTAGGTACTCATCTGTTGTTGTCCCAGTCTGCTCAATTTTAAGAAAAGCGAAATATTATTGGAGGAGAAGAACAAAACAGATATGATTCACTTTTCAAAATAAGATTGCAAAGCTTACCACTACTTCAACCTTCTGATCTATGTACCTCCTCGCCTCATAATCCTAACAGTGAAATTACAAGAGCGAGAGGAAAAGAAGAGCAATAAGAATCTTTACTAAAAGAAACAATTAATATCTTAGAATGACATTAAAACATAGATAAAGAGCAATATATAAGTGGTAAGAAAGAGAAATGAAGGATTAAATCTAAAATAGCTGCATGAGAAAAAACTAGAAACTGAATTCAAAGAATCAGTAGCTTAATTTTAGGAGCTTGCAACTTACAAACGGATATATTCCAGGGTTGTACATATCCAAAATATAAACTCGCTCTGTTAGAACAAATGACATCGTTGAGATTCCAAAGAAAATATTAAATAAAAGCACCATCAGGACAAATAAGTGACCTACCGTCATCAGAAAAGTCCTTTTCATGACCATTTCCTTGATGTGCATCAAGATCAATTATCATAACCCTGCATTTGAGATGATGATGAAAAGAAACTTCATAAAAGGGTAATCGTCAACTGAGATCTAAGTTCCAAGTTAAAATTGCAACACTGCATTTATTTCATCTGAGCTGAAGTATTAATACCTCGATATATTTAACTTAACGAAGGCATAATGTATGCAAAGAGAAATGTCTGCATAAGCGCAAAATCCACCTCCTTTATTAGCAGAACAGTGATGGAACCCTCCTCCAATATTGATAGCCCATCCTCGCTCTCTTGCAAGATTGCCTGCCAATATGGTTCCACCCACCTGCAGTCAAACTTATAATCAGCATAATCCAATTTCAAAGAATAAAACCAACTGAGAATATATTTCAGGACAGATGATGGTTCACCTGCTTGCGGAATCGATAAAGAACACTCTTCTGCACAAGACAATTGGGAACTACTGCAACAGGAGGGACCTATTCATGGTAGCACATTAAATTAGTAAAATATCTTGTTCACAAGACATGAAATTGTTTAATCCCATGCTCAAACTATTAAATTATGCCAGAAGCACCCTGTAAATTATAAATTGTGAGCATGGTTATTCCATTAAACCAAAATCATTTTAATTGAACTAATTTTGTAGTCCTTTTGAATGGCATGACATCACTCACCCCTTTTTTGGCATTTAATGAATTCATTTCAAATTGCACATCGACATATGCACTTGATTAATAAGATTAATATGAACCACAATCTTAAAGAAAATAATCATGAAGTAAAGAATAGCTGCAAATATAACCCTTATGCATTACCTCCATTATCGCGGCAACATTTGCACTGCTCTTCAGACTATCCAAATATGATTCTGTATGTACCTGATTGCATATAAACAATAAGTTTTGCACATAGTTTCCTAACACTTTTACAGTGAGTAAGCACATAATTGTTTTGTATTCATTTGTTCATCTCATGCAAATTGCAATAACATAACTTAGTTGGTTCAGATGTAACGGTGTTTGTTGGTGCAAAATAAAATATGATCACCATCTTTGAAGAATTGAGTAGGTTCCAAAGTAAAAATATCGTAAAACACATCACAGTCTCTCAGAACAGTTATCTTGAGTATTAAAAACATGCCAAGTGTATCAAGAGAATGAATTCACCAGAAGAATTCAGAAACTCCCTTCTTATTAATCTCCTTTACCTAGAAAAATAAAGCGACTTCTGAGGGTGGAGAGCCATATTTTTTTTGGGTTTCTAAATTATAAAATTAGTAGAAGGTGAAGACAATCAAGCCCAAATAATATAAAATAAACTAAAAATAACAGCTCTAGTAAGTCCTTACTACAGAAGACCAAGTTAAGCATGGCATTTTGACCAGCATTACCACTTAAAAGTCTCACAATATACTACTACTAAGAAAAATTTCCTTCCAAATTATCACCACCACTGACTGGTCTGAGTTTGTGTAGTATTGCATCTCCATGGCAAAACTTATGGAATGAGATGAAAGGCACCAACTGGCAAGTCATGCGCATAATGCATATAAACTAAGGACCCATCTGTATATCTATGTATATTATCAAGCTGAAGTTGGACTTTACAACTGTTACAGTGTCTAACACAATTTGGTTGCATGCTATGCAGAGTTTTCATAATTCTTCAGAACAGACTCCTACAGTGTGACTTTCCCATTACAAGTCATATTGCCTTCTAAACCACTTGAAAACAAGCTCGATGCTAGCTTACATAGTTAAATACTTTCATAGCAACTTCTATAGTCATAATGTGTCACTGCATATCTTAAACAGAAGCCAAAGAGAAATATAGAAATTACCACAAGGAGATCCTCTGTTGAAGCTTCCATTGGCTCAACAATACGATTTTTGTCCAAACCATCCACATTGAGGAACTGGCATATGCGACCCCATTTAGAAGAATCAAATGGGTGCCTTCATCAATTGCGCGAAAAAGTCAAGAAAACAGTCAATTAACTACTCAAGTTAAGTCCACAATTCACCAAATTTAATGGAATTGGATTTTTTACATTATCCATGGTCAGCACAAAATCCTGTTATGGAAGGTTTACCATACGTAAGTCCAAATTGTTTCACAGTGAGCAATAATGGACTAAATTTTATCTTGGGCTGGAAAAGGTCAAAACAAATAATTCCAAAGCTAAACTCTGGGAATGGCTTAAATTGGCTACAATTAGGCAGCTGCCCTGTCCAGACACCATGTTTTTGTTACCAAGACAACATTTAACTAGCATGTTCACGCTCTAATTGAAAACGCCTATATATAAGCTAGTTAATCAAACTCTTCTGTACTTCAAATTGATTATACTCGATTATACTGTTTTTCATTTCTTTACTAATCCGTTCAAATAATAATAATAATAATAATATAGAAATAAAATCACATAAACTGAAAGAAAAAGAAGTCAGAGCCTCTTACAGCTTCTCTAATCCAAGAAACGAAATATCGTAAGCGGGTGAGTAAACCATTGGGACCTAATCGTTCAAACAATAAAAAATTATCATTCCAAAATGAAATTTAACAACACAAATAACTTCATATATAAAAACATATAGGTTACCTTGGAAGGGGGAACATCGAAGTAGAGCTTGCTGGATAGAATTCGGTCTCGCCGGAGAGTTTCAGGATCAGTTGCAGTTGAGGTTGATGAAGAAGATGACATCGTATGATTTCGCATGTAGCAATATAGAGAATGAGATACTTTGATGGTGGCAAATGTCAGTATAACATAGAGAATGGGTTTACCCAGTTTCCGAGTTGATTCAACGACAATCGGTATGAATTGGTTCTTCATAGGTAATTATCCAGTAATTAAGTAGAGCGGATAAAAGTGGAAATATAAAAGCGGCGTTGAATTGAGGAACGTTGGATTGAGATGAGATTCGTTGATCATACCGCTGATATGATTGCCATTTGGCGCCTTCAATGAAGTGGTTTAAATATGCTGATACTTAGCGTGGGAATCCAATCAGTGACATGATAATGGCGATAACAGTGTCGGTTAATAGTTGTAGGGAGAACCAATATATATACCAACGTTTGTCGAAACGACAAGTTGGTATCCAAAGATTTTAAAATAATAATGGGTACCTTCCGTCATGTTCTGTTAGTGATTTTTGTAGAAAATAGTAAAAAGACTAAAATGCCCTTGAAAGTTATTTTTAGTTTTTTATAAATTTAAAATTTCTAAAAACCCCATAGGTTTGCTAATTTGACTAAATACCCAATATATAAAAATTTTATAAAATAAAAAATACACCCCGCCACCCACAGTGCCAGATTCGGCCACCACCGTCGGAATCTGGCCGAAAAATTGTGTTAGACACAGACCCATCGGATCTGTGTCGAACACACCAATCTAGCCTTTTTCGGCCTCAACGGCAGATCTGGCCTAGATCTGGCCTTTTCCGGCCAGATCAGCCACGGATCTTGGGGAAAATAAAAGATCTACGCGGTACGACACAGATCTGATGGGTCTGTGTCGTAACGCAATTTTTCGGCCAGATTCCGGCGGTGGTGGCCGGAATCTGGCACTGCCAGTGGCGGGGGTGTTTTTGTTATTTTATAAAATTTTTATATATTGGGGTATTTAGCAAATTAGCAAACCTATGGGGTTTTTTAGAAATTTTTAAATTTATAAAAATCTAAAATATTAAACTTTTAGGGGCATTTTAGTCTTTTCACTATTATCAAATGAAAATCACTAACAGAACATGACGGAAGGTACCTATTTGTCATTTCAAAACTTTTTGGGTACCAACTATCGTTTTGATAAACCTTGGGTATGCAAAAGTCGTTCGGCCATAGTTGTAGGGTCAATTACAATCACCCTCTAAACTTCACACTGCATCCATTGTTTCTGAAGTCAATGGTTGCAAGGCATTATTCTCTAAAGTTACAGTTGGGTAATTGTCGTTAACCAGTGGTTTTATACCACTACGGGCTTAATGGGCCTGTGAACGGTGGATTTGAGTTACAGGGTTAACGGTATCCGTTACTGTAGTAAAGTTAGGCCCGTGAATACTAGATATCAAGAGGAAGCTTCTTGTTATCCCGATCATGTTTTTCATGAGCAATTGAGTTTGAGCATATGATGACTGCAATGAAACTTAGTGAATTGATTAATAAAACGATGCAATGATAAAATTTTAGTAATAATTTACAATTCCTTATGGGGAGAACCATTTTCACCCCCAAGGTTTGGCAAAACAACACTTTCCCACCCATTAAGTTTCAAAACGATATTTTTTCACCCTCTGTCAGGTTCTGTCAGTGTTTTCTGTTAATATTTGATTGAAAAGATGAAAATACCCTTACATATTTGACTTTATAATTTTTTATCAACAAAATCAATTACCAAAATACCCACTCTTTAAAAATGAAATCACTAGTATGCCCTCAACTTTTATGAAAATTAAATTACCAATTTGTCCTTGTTTTTTATCAAAAATAATGTTTCAAATGTGTGAAGTTACTGTTGGATTTTTAAAAAATTAAAACCTGTAGAATTACCATTTTTTCCTTATAGTTGTTGCAACCCTAAATTGGCATTTATATTTAAATTATGTCAATTTAAACCCAAATAAAACAAAGTACTAGCATTACTTTGAAAATAAGAATCCAAATTATAAAATTGCAGTGCATATATATATATATAGTTTTTTGTCAGTTGAAACCCACTAAGAATAGGGAATTCAATACCAAGAAAGTAGGTTTCCACAAACTTTGTACAAAGACAAAAAAATAGTACTGTATATTAATAGATTAGCAAAAGTGTAAAACCAAGTAGTCACAAAACCAAGTAGTCACAAATTACAAAAATTTCATATATTTTCCCCTTCTAACTAATTGCTTCCACAAGTTATCCGGGAAATAATTTATATTGCCAAAACCGTAAATTCCTAGAATACTTCAATCTCCTTGCCTTCATGATGTCTCCATCTTTATAACGTCAGCTCTACACTTGAAATCATCGCTAGAATGATACCTTACACAGAAAAATATATCATTATTTAATATTCTGTCAATTGAATAGAGAACATCAAAGTAACTAGCAGACAAGACAAAATTTGTGACTAATCCCATCAAAATAACCATCCGTTCAACAGAAAACATCAAAATAACCACAAAACAAGGCAAAATTTACAAAGGATTCCATCAAAAAAACCATCAATTGAATAGAGAACATCAAAATAACCACCAAATGTACTAGAAAATTTTCTAAAAAATTGTTAATATAACATGTTAAGATAGATGATAAACTAACTGACCCTGTACATGTATTTTTGTTGCATGGTTAACTGAAATCTCTTTCAAAAACAAAAGAATTAGCAAGTACTAAAAATAGAAAACTATATTTTTACCTGTGGATTTGGAACAAAATAGTCAACTGTTGCACACAAAATAACCCCTGCATTACTGATTTGCTTGACCTATTAACATGATTAAGAATAATGTTAGGGAAGCAAATAATGAACTAACATCAACACTAGTCTGGCCCTATCTATTGAATACCTATTGAACTTGGAAAATGTGATGAACTTGACCTCTGACTTGAAGAAGGCATTGAAGAAGATGCATTTCTCAAAGATGTAGCAAATCCAGCTCTTGAAGAAGGTGCAGTCATTGTTGGTACAAACCTTCTCTACAAGATAATAAATGGCAAACAATATTAGTTACATAATCAAACACATAAAAATTGATAAAATGATTAAATTAATAATAGCTCTTGGGTTGTCCTGTTATCTTTGCAAGATCTCTTGCTATGCCCCATAGCAGATTGATTAAAAATGCTAAAGGAGTTGGCATTAAAAATAACAGACTGATTAAAAATAACAATGCTCAAAGATCAAATAATAGATTGATTAAAAAGAATAAAACAAAATAAAAGTTTTAACATACCTTCTCAATACCCCCACGAGAAGTAATCTCCACAAACAGTTGATGCAAATCTAACTCCTTTCCTCCAATAATGGAGATCCTACAATCAGAGTACACATTGACAACAGATTATCAGTAGAAGGCATAATGAAACATGGAAAGTTACCTCCAGTTTTGCACAAATTAGACAAAGAGAAAATTAAATTAATGAACATATTTTAAGTTAAACAACTTTTAAAATGCAGTCGAACGTCTAATTCAATATAGTTTTTGGCTACCTGTGTAAGCAGGATTTAAAAGAAAATAGTCAGGCATTTAGTGAAGACAAATAGACAAGATGATATGTTTTGAGATAAGTCCTTGAGCACATATATTTAAAGTCTTGAAAGACAAGTAAATTAAACCTCTACAAGCAAAGATGATCTCAATTATCAACCAGTGGTACTACAAACTTAAATGTTTCAATTTCATAATAATTAAAATAACACAAGAACATTGTTATCCAAGAAAATAATATATATCAACACCATAGCTTCTTGTTGTGGTCTCTACAAACTCCACATTCTTATCATTGTTGAAAACAAATTCTATGACTCTTTAAGATCGATCAAATGTAGTGTCTTTGTTTCAATTTGATGCAAGATGCGTCTTTCCCATTATCTATCAATAAATCTTATATGTAATTAATTTGAACACTAGAATTCCTAGCTTCAATATTCCCTATCCGAAAGACTAATTGGTTTAAAATATTGCATCAAAAATTTCACATGACATTCAACTATAGATTCTCATCAAGACAAAAGGCATCAATGGCAATGCAAAATATGAAATTCGTTAAGCATAATTAGGATAGAAGTTGAACAATTGTATCACTAACTAATAATCGTTATAAGAATCCATATTTTGCACCAAAATGACTCCACTCTAGAACGTAACCTTTTTTTTTTTTTCTTTCTAAAAAGCTCTATAATTTAACCACTAAGAACCAAACGAAAAACAAACAACAATTTTGTTTCAACCTAAAACAAAAACAACAAAAAAAGAAGATTACCCACCACTTTCAGCTCAGTCATCGTCGTCGTTATTTTCTCTCACTTGTTGTCATAGCCAATCATCGCTCGCCCTTTCAAACCCTTTTTTGTCCAACGTCGTTGTTAGTCACCAACCTTAAGTCCCCAATCGCTTCAGTTTCGAAGAATAGGAAGAACACAAAATCAGCTTTTTGTTAGTCCACGGAATTGTCGTGCACAGTGGCGGATTCAACGAATGACGAGTGGGGACCAAGTCCCCACTCAATTTAAAAAAAAAAAAAAAATCAGATTTTATATTTATTTAAATTTTGCCCCTATAAAACCTTGAGATTTTGGGAACATAAGCCCCCATGGTAGGTTTGGATTTTGTTTTTGTAAAATACAGTTTTTAATCATAATATATATATTTCATATTTTTTGTGATTTTTATTTTTATACAAGGGAATCTGTTAGTTTTTAAAAGCTTTATTATGAGTGAAAATGAAAGGAATAAGAGCTACTAGGTTTGCATGTAACCAAAAGCTGATGTGGTGCGGTCATGGTGAGAATAAGAGAATTTTGGGACAGTTTCATAATTCAAAAAAGCTGTTTTATATATAAACTGGGCTATTCGCCCAAAATGAAGAAGAAGAGAGAAAAACTCATAAAGAAGAAAGGAAGAAGAAGCAATGGAAAATGAAAAAGAGAAGAGAGAGAAGAATGAGTTTGGCCAGTTTTATCCATTTGATTTTTAGAGAGAGAAGAATGAGTTTGGCCAGTTTTATCCATTTGATTTTTCTACACTTGAGTTGATGGTACTTGAGAATTAGGCTGAGACTTGTGTTATTGACATGCGTTCTTGTGATGAATTTGTTGAGTTAAAAGGAATTGGTGATTTGGCTAAGAATTTTAGTTCGGTTTCAAAGACATTTTGTATCTGTTAGTGTATA